CTTGCACAGCTGTGGAGGGTACCATAGTCTGCCCTGTACGTTGGGTCTGACCGTCATTAACTTGGCCCTTCACGTAAGCAACTAATATAGTATAAAATGAATTTTATAAAAATATATAAAAAAAAAATATGAAACTATTATCAAATAGAAAAGGCTAATAAATATTAACCAATTGTTAAAGTAAAGAAAATCAGAAAGAAATATGAAACTACTTAGTAAAAAGATGTATAATCAAATAAAAAATTTAATTAAAATAAAAAAAAACCAAATTGCCAAAAAGATTAAAGAGTCAAAAGAAGTGAAAAACAATAAAATAAAAGAAATATGATTTGATTCAATTAAAAGTTATATAGAAAATAAAATAAAACCATTTTTATATGATCTTTTAGACTAATCTAATACAACTTTCAAATCTGGATACTATCCTAACCAGTGTGATAAATCATCTTTGGACACTTATTGAAACAGTCAGAAGATGTTGAACCAGTAAATTAGATTAAAGTATGTACAAATTTGTAAATACAAATCTTAATAAAGGTTAATGACAAAACTGCCAAAGAAGAAAAAAAAAATTAGTATATAAATCTAAATCTTCTAATTATTTTGATAAAATTTTATAATTTATTTTATTTAAAAAAAATTACTTTATATATTACTAAGTTTCTCTAAGTTAGCTTATGAGTTTTCTAGATCACACAAGATTTACATAGAAAATTTGTATAACAAACAACATTTTATATGTAAATCATATAATATCATATGATTTGCTATATAATTACTAAAGGGAATAACTACCGACACAGCATACACGTGATCTAATTCCCTAATTTCTCCATATTCTAACACTAACCTTAACTATAGTGTTGGTCATGCTGTGTCGTTAAGGTTAGTACTGGTCATTTGCTGTGTCGATAAGCACGTGTTTCGCTGTGTCGGTAGTTATTCCCTTACTAAATACCCACAAAAATTCCACTGTCACGTGATGCTCAACGGTAAGTTAGCAAATAGCAAACCAAGGTTTGATGTAACGTTACACGATCAGGAAGAACAAAACAGTTCAAATCACTTATTTCTCAAAAAGTAGCATAAGAAACCACTTTTCGTGCTCTAATTAAAAAAATTCCTTGAGCAAATTTGCTAACACATCCTTAAACTTAAACCCCAATGTTAACGAACTTAAGAATTTTTCTACGATCACGTGACAGTAGAATTTTTATGGCGATGCTGGGTAAGATTATAATTACTATTAAAAATAAAAATGATCTACATCACCCCTACCTTTAATTTTTTATATTTTAGCGAACATAGTTTTAGTGAAGATGGTGGAAAATTTTTTTTAAAATATAAATTCATTTTAGTTTGCTAATTATGCTAATTTTACTAGATATGTTCGCTACTAATGACCACTGGCTCTAAGCTACCTGAATTACTAACTTGTCGGAGCTTGACCACCTATACTGCAGCCCTAACGGATCTGCCACATATACTGCATAAGATCCAAAGTTTGCCGTGAAATAAAAGAATCGCCATAGTTTTTTAGTTCGAATGTGTTAGCGGAAAGAAAGCAAAAGATTCATAAATAATTCAAATAGTAAATAGTATATATATATAATATGCAACTTATTTGTAAATTTCTCTTATTTTTATTGTAATTAAAACAATAAATCAAAGATTTATGATAACATTTCTGGCTTCTTTTTTTAGTTACTAAAATTTTCTACAAATTCAAAATGAATGTTTTTTCTAAAATGCTTTCTAAGTTTGCTAGTTCTGCACGGATAATGTCCCTCGATTTCTGAAACATTTCAGCCCTCTTCATTTTCTTCATTCACCCTTTATTTTTTCCAATTCCATTTCGTAACGTAACTTTAAGGCCGCAGTTCTGTTTTGGTACCCTTCTTCCTGCGCTCGCTGTCGCTCTTGTTGACGTTGAATCTGTCGTTCCTTCTGTTGTAGTTTTTTGTGAAGTTGAAATACATATGATTTCTTCTTATTGATGCGGGCCATCTACAAAAATTAACAAACAGGGAAGTCAAAATGTTCCTTTTCATAAACATCCGTACGCAAAATTCGAAAAATTATACTGGCTTCCGCTCAATATGATGAATGGAATAAAACAAGGCCTATCGCTTTATTACACAGTCACATTAGCTTCTATCTCTCCAACAAAGCTTAAAAATTTGAAGTCGTAGAGATCGAAAAAAAAGAGAAAGCAAAAAGGGAAACTGTCTATACCAGTGTTGGAGTATGACCTATTGACCAATTATAGGTTATGACCTTATTACTTATAAAATTTACTAATATGTTATGACCACCTTGGTCATACGTATAAAGTGGATATGACCTAAAATGGCCAACACTGGTCTATACAGGGCTCATTGGTGAGCTTGCTCAAATAGACAGCTAATTCAATAAAGAAAACTAACCGGAAAGATGATACATACAGCTTTTTTTTTTTTGTTGCTATTGCTTGTTAGTCGTCGGACTATAACTTTTCTTGTTAGTTTGGCCATAACGATAACTCTGCCGCGTAAACTACAATCGATATTGAAAAACCCGAGATTTTCTTATCATAGATACTGATCGACCAATTAAGCTGACTTAGGTGATAGGATCTTGTGTAACAAAAACAAAGCGAAATAAAACAGATAACCAAGATTTTATTATAAAAACCATGCTTTGACTTCTAAGCAAAAGTCTTCAGCATCAAATTTTACCTAACCTTAAATTTATTCTTGTAATAAAAATTTTATAATACAGGGTATGATGAAAATTAAAAATACCAGTCTAAAAAAAGTTCAAGAAACTAAAAGAATCCAAAAATCGTTCGTAGCTCAAAATTTTATCTTCTGCATATTAATAAACTTTTTCTTGCAAAATTTTGGTATAACTATAACCTTCTAAACCTAACCTACTTGTAATACTCTAACCCTAACCTAATAGCGAAATGTTCCGCAAAAGATCCGGATCGAATTCGGATCCATAGTGGTATACCCGATCTACCCTTGTTAATCGTTACCCAAAATTTTTTCGAAATAAAAAAAATTTACGTTATTAGATTAAAGTCTGTAATTTGTTATTAAGTTAGGGCTTTAAGGCGTTTTTTATATCAAAGTTTTGCGCAGCATAGACTAAATTTTGAGTTATAAGAGATTTTTTGACAAAACAAACAATTTTCTTTATTGTGTTACGTTGCACCTGATATCGAATTTTATGATGATTTGGTTGCATGCTGATTGGTTAACATATATAATCTCGACCGGAGTAAAATCGCCACCCAAAAAAAAGTTTCGAACATTATACTGCAATTTTAACAGATCTTTGCAAAGTATAAAAGCTATTTACATATATATATATCACTAATATTCTTTTCAATATAAGGGGTTGAGTCAATAGAAATCAAGCAAATTTTTTTTAAGTAAATTTTTTTAAAACTTTGAATAATGATAACTTAACAACAACTTAAGCAAATTTAATAAAAATTTTTTTAAATCAATTTTTATAAACTTATAGAATTTATTTAAAAATTTTTTTAAAGGTTTAAAAAAAATTCAATAAAAACAATTTGCTTGATTTCTATTGACTCACCCTCATAAATATTATTATTAGATTGCGAGTTAATATAACTAACGAATTTGCTAATATGAATCGTACTGTCTTCTATATTGTTAAAGCTATTATTTTTGATTTCCACTTCTTTATCGGATTTTAAAAACTCTGCAATGATTTCAGTACTATTTTTCCAATTTAAAATAGGTTTATGGATTTCTATAGCTGACGGTCGTTTTTCTGGATCTTTATCCCAACACTTTTTAAAAGATTTACATAACATGGTGTTGTACCTTTAATAATAGTTGGTCTTAACCCTTCACAACTTTCTAATGCCAATCTTAAATCATCATCTTTATAGTCAGCAAATACAACATTTCCCGAAGAAATCTCCGCTTTGGTAAACGACTTTCCTTGTAAAACTTCTGGAGCTATATACGGTAAAGCTCCATAAATTCCACCTGATTCTTTGTCCAATGTTTTATTAATCGATGTTGCAAATCCTAAATCACCGATATAAGCATTGTATAAATCATTTTGAAATATATTACCACTATGTAAATCATAATGAATAATGTTATTCGAATGAATTAATTGAAGGTCGGATGCGATATAAGATAGCAATTCTAATTTCTTCTCCCATTTCATTTGTGCAACTTCATAAATATTCTTACGTAAAGATCCCATTTTTGCATATTGCATTACTAAAATATAATCATCTGTGCCTTCATCTTTGATATTCCATAACATTGTAAAAATGTGGGATTTTTAGATCCAATTTTTGAATATGCGATTAACTTTAAAATTATAAATATTAATAAGTGAATATTAATGACAAATTATAAAACATGAGTTGCCAAATACTTACCTCATTTATAAGTTCCTCGCAGCTGTTTTTTGGTCCATGAAATAATTTGAGTGCAACAAGGCGATTTAAAATATGATCATCTGTCGTGAGTTTTCAATTAGCGGCATATACAGTTCCAAACCCACCTTTTCCAATTTTTTCTTTAAATTCTAATTCTTTAAATGGAATCCACGATATTAATAATTTATTGTCAGATAATGATTTTTTTAGAGAATCATTAAAACTTTCGCAGTCAATCGTCTTTTGAAAATCATTATTGCTTTTCGATTTTTGCAGCCATTCAATAGCCTTTTCCTGATCAGGTGATGTTCCATAGCCATTTCGATAACATAATCCAAGTTTATTTTGCCCACTAGAATTACCATTTTCTGCAGATTTCAAATACCACTCAAATGCCTTTTTTTCATCCTTGGCTGTGCCAACGCCATTTTCATAGCAGAGTCCAATAACGTGTTGTCCATCTGAATTGCCACCTTCAGCAAGTTTCAAATACCACTCAAATGCCTTTTTACCATCCTCTGCTGTGCCTCTACCACACTGATAGTAAAATGCAAGATTATATTGTCCCTTCGAATTGCAACCTTCAGCAGATTTCAAATACCACTCAAATGCCTTTTTTCATCCTTGATTGCGCCTCTGCCATGTCCGTAGCAGATTCCGACATTGTATTGTCCATCCGAAATGCCACCTTCAGCAGATTTCAAATACCACTCAAATGCTCTTTTTTCATCCTTGGCTGTGCCTATGCCTTCGTCATAGCAGATTCCGACATTGAATTGTACTTTCGAATTGCCAGCCTTCAGCAGATTTCAAATACCACTCAAATGCCTTTTTTTCATCCTTGGCTGTGTCTATGCCGAAGGGATAGCAGACTCCTACATTTAATTGTCCATCTGAATCGCCGTCTTCAGCCAATTTCAACAGAAATTCAAAATCTATATTTTCATCCATGATAACTTCTAATCAAAGGATATATACTTTTACAAAAATAAAAATTTAAAAAATTGCGGTCATGTCTTATTAATGCTAAGTATATGTTGATATGAACATAGAGTAGTACGAAACTACAAATTAGACGGAACGAACTTTTAGAAAAATTAGTCCGATAATTTATGACGATATTATGCAAGTGATGATGTGTTGAAGAGTATGAATAAATTATCTTGATGGTTTATTTATACACTTTAAAATACCTTTCGATAGCATAACGTTTTACTAATAAAAATAACAAATGTATCCTTAGCTTTAAACACACGTTAAAAGTTTATTGTATGAAATATTCTTGAAACTGTCAGCAGACTTAGATGATGATTATTACTATATAGAATTCATGGATATCTTCAAGATTTAAACTATTTTTTAGCCTTAAAAAATGTTTCCAACCAACATGATTGATTCTCTTGAAGACAGCATCATTTCTTTCTTACTGTTACGTTTGAGCAGATAGATTGGTACTTATACGTATTACTTAAATGCAAAATGAGAGACAAACTATAGTTACATTATATTTGAACTTAATCATTTTATTGATAAAAATGGAGTTTTTCTACTCGCCACCGATAAACTAATGGTATTAAACAATGGGCTTATTATTGTTTTAGTAGATATGCATTTTAATTATAGATGCTGGTGAAACTGGTGAAATTGGTGAAATTTATTATAGCAGCCAATCAGATTTTAGATAGCCACCAGTTTCACCAATTTCACCAGCATCTATAGTTTTAATCCAAAATTTTTACTGTTATGTGAGATGTGACAAAATTCTTTAAGTTCGTTTATGCTAGGTTAGATGATTAGAATTTAGTAGTTATAATAGTAACATCATTCAAGGAAAACTTTTCATTAATGTGCAGAAGGTGGTTTCTTATGTAGATTTTGAGTTATAAGCGATTTTTGGCTAAACGAACGTTTATTTTGCATTTTCTGATCGTAAACAACTTTTGATATATAAAATGTAAATATTAATATCTCTACAAAATTTAACAAAATTTAATAAATTTACTATTTTTAGAATCAGAAAAATCTGCTCTACAATTTTACCTATTAGTCCAAAAATGATTTACTTAATAAAAGTTTATAAAATTTTGAAAAAAAAGATAAATACCAAGAGTTTTATATATAATTTAGAATTTGTACCCCTATCCTTAACGTTAAATAATGATAATTTTTGGACCTTTATTATTTAGATTTGCAAAAGTTTGTATTCTAATAATATATTATCAACACCGTTAAATGGCTATCAGAACCGTTAAATTGCTTATTTTTAGCAAGTTCAATTTTGACAGATCTTTGCAAAGTATAAAAGCTATTTACTATATATATATATCGCTTAATATTCTCTTATTGGAGAAACTTTGTTCAAATACACTAATATGATTAGTTACTTTACAATGTCTTCAATATAAATATTATTATTAGACTGGGTTAATATAACTAATGAATTTGCTAGTATGAATCGTACTATCTTCTATATTGTTAAAGCCATTATTTTTGATATTAATTTCTTTATCAGATTTTAAAAACTCGGCAAAGATTTCAGTACTATTTTTCCAATTTAAAATAGTTTTATGGATTTCTATAGCTGACGGTC